CTTATATAATCCTCCCATTAAAAAGAAAAGATGAAAAATCATAAGTCACAAGAAAATCAAAAGTCAAAACATAAATTTTAGAAAAGTAAAGGTTTCAATAAATTTTAACAAATAAAAATTTTAAAAAATATGAAAAGAAGAAAATTAAAAGTCATGAATCTATATAAATGTTAGACAACAAAATGTCTATTGGATTTTATGTAATAAAATTAAGAGATATACATTTAGAATTTATATAAAAAAAACTTGGCATTTATTAAAAAATATTTGAGTTTTCCTTCATCAAGCATCTCTTTGATGACAGCATCATTCACAATAATTATATGATAATCATCTTTATTTACAGCAATACCCTTCGTGAATCTTATTCTTTAATTGATATGCATTATGATTTCAAAGAATAGTCTGAATATAAAATCTATATGAAAGTATCAAAAAATAATAAAATAAATTTTAAAAAATAGAATTAAAAATAATTTTATTTACATACCTCTCATCAATCAATATTGTAGACATCCTATTTTGTCCAAAGATTTTTTTAAATTCATTGGGGTTTAAATTTTAATTTTAATTGTGCAATTGCATCTTAACTGAAAAAGTGAATTTTTGGCCCAAATATTAAGTCCTAAATTTTATTTGTATTTTAATTTTTTAGATTAATTTTTTGTTTAAATTTTATTTTTTTAGTCAAAAGAGTCAAAGTCAATTTGCAAAAAAAAAAAAAGGATAAACAATAAAAAAATGTGAGATTTTGCATGAAAAATCTTGGATTCAATTCAACTTTTAGATTCTATCTCAGAATTTAACTTTAATAGTTGAATAGTTTTGGAAAGACTTTGGGCTCAATTTATTGAAAAAAGAGAAGATTACTCTGAGAATTAAATTAGGAGAAAAATTTTAGATTCGGTTGAATTAATTCCTTCCAAATCGAAAGGGATTCAATCATTATATAAGTTCCTTGAATCGTGATCAAAGGGGGGCTTGATGGTAATTGACTTCAAAATCAAATAAAGGTCATTGAAAAAAAAATTGAGCAAAATTTTGAATTAACAAGGAATAAGCAATCAAGCAAAAAAATTTGCAAGAAGATTCAGTTGGAGTTTTTTGAAAGAAGGTTAAGATTTATAGTAGGAAGTATCAATTTTTGAAAGGTGAAAAATTGTTGGAACTCATTGATATAATGTTTGCTTTCATTTTTTTTTGGTGATTTTTGTATAACTTTTATAATATTTAATTGCTTAATCTTATTTTTATATTTATTGCATGGTATTTATTTTTGCATGACTAATGTTATATTTGCATAATAATTTATTTACCTAATATATTTGTTTGCATGATTATTAATATATTTATTTGTATGATTATATTTAATTTGATTGCATGATTATTAATATATTTAATTGCATGATTATATATTTAATTGCATGTTTATTTGTATGATTATATATTTAATTGTATATTTTGCATGGTTTATATATTATTATTTACATGACTGCATGATTTATATATTATTATTTGCATGATTATATATTTAATTGCATATTTATTGCATGATTATATATTTAATTACATGTTTATTTATATGATTATTAATATTATTATTTGCATGATTATATATTTAATTGCATGTCTAATTGCATGATTATTAATTTATTTGTTTGTGTGATTGCATGATTATATATTTAATTGTATATTTATTTGAATGATTTATATATTTAATTGCATGTTTATTGCATGATTTACATTTTTAAGTGCATGATTATATATTTAATTGCATGATTATTAATTTATTTATTTGTGTGATTGTATGATTATTAATATATTTATTTGCATAGTTATTTCTTTATTATTATTGCATGATTTTATATTTATTACATGATATGATATTATATATTATTGCATGATTAATATTATATTTAAATAATATTTAAGTGCATGTCTCTACATTTATTGTGTGCATAATTACATGACCATATTTAATTGCATAATTTCTAATATATTTGTGTGATTATATTTAATTTCATGATTATATATTTGCATGAATGGTTATTAATATATTTGCATGATATTTTATATTACTGCGTGATGATATATTTGCATAATATTATTATATGATTATTATTATTGCATGATAATTAATATATTTGCATGACATTCTTGCATGAATATTTTTGCATGATCTAAGCATGATATTATTACATGATATTTGATATGATTTATAATATATTTGCATGATAATTTTTGCATGTATGATTCAATATTCATTGCATGATTTGATTTTGATAGAATTTTTTTTTATGACCATATGGTGTAAATAAATAAAAAAATTGAAATTATTTGATTTGCATGATAAAACTATCTTTGATTAAGGTTTAATTTAGATAACACATAATTGATTTGGTACTAATTTTGGGCGTAAAGGAGTGCTAATACCTTCTCTGCACGTAATCGACTCCCGAATCTTAGTTCTGTTTATGTAGATCAAAACTTATTTTTCTCAGGGACCCTTAGCTTAGGCTTAGGATAATTTTAAAAACAATAGACTCACACAGGTGGCCAATCACACATAGTAAAAAAGATTAGTGGCGACTCTATGATTTTTTTATGTCTAATGGGTAGGTTCTCCCAATCTAAACATTATGACAAATACTATTTCTATGCTAATGCATTATTCAGTCTTGTAATTATAAATATCCTACAATTTAGCAAATACACATTTTTATCTTTCAATTATTTATTTAAAAAGTTAATCTATCAATTATAATATACTCCATTTGGTTAAACTTAATTTTGAAATGAAAAAAATCATGCTCATGATTAAAAATAAAAAAATAATAAAAATACAAACACTAAAAAATACCCCAAATTGACTAAAAAACAAACTTGAAATACCAAATAAAAAAATCATAGATTATGATTATAAAATTAAAAAATTATGAAAATGCAAACACAATAAAAAAACAAATCTCATGACTGAAAAAAAATACAATATAGACATGAAATTCACTTATATAATCCTCTTATCAAAAAGAAAAGATGAAAAATTATAAGTCATAAGAAAATAAAAAATGAAAACATAAATTTTGGAAAATCAAAGGTTTCAATAAATTTTAACAAATAATGATTTTGAAAAATATGAATGGAAGAAAATCAAAAGTCATGAATCTATGTAAATGTTAGGCAACCAAAAGTCTATTGGATTTTATGTAATAAAATTAAGAGATATATATTTAGAATTTATATAAAAAAACTTGGCATTTATTGTAAAATATTTGAATTTTATATTAATATGATTATAATTTATTTTTGTAACAGGACGACCATTTATCTGGGTGCTGGCCTATGCATGGCGACAAGGTTTAGCAAGTGGGCATTTGGAGAGAATTTCAAAGCAAGCCAAAGTAGTTTCATGGGGCTTATATCTCACACACTGTGGGTGGAATTCGGCCATGGAAGCCATGCAATGCCAGAAACCACTCTTGTGCTATGCGGTCGCCGGCGATCAATTTGTCAATTGTAAATACATTGTTAAGGTTTGGAAAATTGGAGTGAAGATTAATGGATTTGGACAAAAAGATGTTTAGGAAGCTTTGAGAAAGGTGACAGATGATGGTAAAATGAAGGAAAGATTGACGAGGCTATACCATAGGACCATGGGAGAAGAGGCTAGTTCTACAGTTGTAGCTAATCTCAAGGCTTTTCTATTGGATTCAACCAAGTCCAACTAACAATTCACTTCCTTAGAAGATGTTAAACATTTTAGTTTGTAATTTTTGTAAGAAAATATACTAGCAATGCACAATTTTACCATCAAACTTTGTTCGAAAAATGCACTTAAATCAGAATTTTTTTTGTTCAAGTTTAATTTAAAATCTTTATTTCCAAACACCCAAACATTTCAACAGTTGATACATATCCTATTTAAAAATAAAGTTTGAATCCCTCCTTTCTTGAATAAAAAAATTATTCACAAAATAAGATTCTTTTAAACATAGTTTACAACGTGCTAATGAAATTTTGACTTAGTAATGAAGAAAAGAGCCTAAAATCATGAGATCCTAAATTAAAATGTCACTTTATATGCATTTGGTTTAATTTTATATTAGACTTATCTAATTATATTTTAATTTATTGATTAATTAGTTTATTTGATTATTCAGTTACATAATACTTGATTATAATTATAATTTATACTTATAATCTCATCAAAAAAATTACAATTATAATTAATTGAAGAAAACCTTATTTTACAATCTATTTACTCTATTGCATACATTTTTACCTCAAAGAGAGGGACAAATAATCAATTTTGAAAGAATTTATTATCTAACCTCTTTCATATATGAATCTTTATGAGGTTCTTCCAATAACTAAAATGTTTATCTTGTTTGAATCTAATCAGGATTCGTGGCAGCAGAAGAAACAGGAAAAATAGGGATTCCATAAGTTTTTCACACCAACTCAATGGCATGTCATTGCTTAAAAAAATAATAATAATAACTATATCATATTTCTTTTGAAAAAATAATAAAAAATTCTTAAAGGAATTCTCCTACCATCCAATAGTTTTAAGATATCTTAGAATTATATAATTTTTTAATAATTGTAATATAAAACAACATTATAAGGGAGGTCAAGTTGCCCTCCATGAGTAAAATCTTGAAAACGCAAGGGAGATCGGATAAAAAAAAAAGTCGAGAGTTTTATTAACACTTATGCTTCGATGCTAAAGTCAGTATTTAGTCAAAGACTAAAAAAAAGAGTAAGGTTAAATGTAAGCTTGGAGACTAAAAATTTTAATTGGTTTAGAAGTACCTGGAAGGAATTATTTATACTTATGTAATGGGGGATCTTGGGCTTAGATGGCCAAAGTTCAACGTAGGAAGGCTAACACTGATGTCACAGGCTCAAGTTAAGTCAACATTCTCATGTACCAATAGGTGAGCTATTAAGATAGTCAAGCTGAAGTAGAGCCCAAGATTTCAGGTTTACCGAACATGTCAGCTCAATCAAAATGATCAAAATATCCCTATTTATCAGCTGACTTACACACTGAAAAAGAAAAAGTCAAATTTACCTTTTAAATGCTAAAACGCCCCTAAAAGGAAGGAAGTACCGAAAAAAGATAATAATAACGATCCTTGGTCAAGAAGAAACAGCCCTACATACAATCTTCAAACATAAATACATACTTAGAAGAGTGGAAATAAGATAATGATCTCACACTGCTTAGCCAAAACAAAAGCCGTACGCACAATCTTCAAACGCAAATAAATGCATAGAATACACGTATGCATACATATAAGTACAATATAAAAGTAACGAAACATAGAAATAATGTTTAAGTTTGTAATTTAAGGGCAAATGTCATACCATCTTTCGGAGAAAAGTCTCAGATAGGCGTTTGTCTTTTGGACTTGCGCTCTTCTATGCCCTTGCTTTGCTTTTCCTTTAGAAGATTTAGCTCAGCCTCCTTCCTTCTAATTTCTTCCGTCCGTTCAACGTGTTCCCGACACTTTAACAACAGGTCCTCCAGCCATGAAATCTCAAAACCTGCAAGCTTCAAATCTTCAATACCGTTCTCCATGCACTTGATTTCCTCTGGGGTGAGCTCTTCTTTTGTTGCAATTTTGTAGACTTCAGCTAATGTGTTCATGAAGCCATTTCTTGAAGCTGGCAAGCGAACTCGAAGGTCAGATGCAGTGCGAGGGTGCTGGCTGAATATCTCTTGGATCATGTGGGAATTCTCCTTTAGTACCGCTACTACCGTATCGCCATTGATAGTCATGGAATCCAGCAATGCCTCGTCGACAAGAGAACCTTCCATGATTCCTAACAACCAAAAAGTTAACATATAATAGAAGCCATATGTTTGATGCAAAAAACAATTCTTGTCAAAAAAAAAAAGTTCATATCGCCCATAATTATTTTCATTGTACTATTAAATACAATATCAATCTGACAGTTATATTCACTAGAAAACATTAGAGAACATTTTCTATACCTCAAATTTTTTTCTTTTCCTAAGCCAAGTATAATTCGTTGAAGTTAAAGTAATGGGTGCAAACAGAGCGACAAAAAGAAGAGTCTCCCAGTACCACAAAATAAAAACACTCAAAATTGATGCATCAAGACACATATATAGAAAGAAAAAGCAGGGGGACGCGTATAAAAGACAAAACTCAAACCCCCTTACCCTCTGATGCAATAAGACGGCGAGACCCGAATGAACGCATCAAAAAAGAAAGCTGAGGGAAAACACCAAAGACCCAAATAACTTAAAAAGGAAAGCAAAGAAACTATCACCAATGAGCTAAAAGAAAACCGCAATTCATCACCATGCCATAAACATATCAGCTCTAGCAAACACCAGACTTTGCCAAAGAATATGCGTACTCCACAACTTCAAAGGCCAGTCTTCCAAGAAGCTTATATTTTATCACCTTTCCTTATCTGTAAGGACTCTCAGTTTCTAAGAGCCTATAATCTATTGGATAAATTTTTTTCATTCATTAACTCCTAAGAAAAGAGATATGGATTAATGCAAATAATATTAAAACACCTAAGAATGTGTTTACTATATAAGATTATGAAATTGTAGCATAAGATGATATTATGAATAAAATTAAATTATATAATGCCATCTTTTCTTGTGTTTAATGTGGTAAGAATTATGATAGAATAATTTATTTATTGGTCAAAATTATTCTTTTTCAAAGTTTATACAATTTAAATTATTAATATAATTTTTAAAAATATAATAAGACATATAAATTCAATCTTATAGATTACAAATAATTTTTTTCACTTTAAGGAGGATTGAATCATCCTATTACTATACTAATAGAATGATTAATCCTCCTTATAATTCTATTCCTTTTTTTATATACAAATCAAACATAATATAGGATGATTGTTATCCTATCTTATCCATCATTCTATACATCAAATATGATCTAAATTCCATATATTCCAATGGTAATTATGCCTGTATTACATAATATTGAAGCCCAAAAGAGAGCATCTTAAATGATTTTGGTGAGTATATTGCATAGTACTTATCAAACGACTCCTCTAAGAACAAAACTTAAGTAAGGTTTCCTTTGTACCATTTTTCCTTTATCGTCTTATATATATAGTTCAAGAGTTTAAAATTACTTAGTAGTGCACTCCATATCAACTAGTTTTCTTGGCCCAAAACTAGAAATGACAAGAGGTTTATTATTAGATTAACAAGTTAAATACATGATTTATTTTTTGTTAAGAAATTTAAGAAAATGAATATAACATAAACTTTTTCCAACAACCACAAACATGCTGTATGCCTGAATAGTCTAGAATATCCATTATTCTTAATTATTAAAGAGAAAACTATACTAATATTTAGTTATAGGAAATAGCTAAAATATCATCACTAATTATAAAATAATGTTAATACATACCCTGCAATAAAATATTAAATGTGCCACATTATACTTTTCTTCCTTTTAAAATAAGTTAGATCATATGATCACAATATCATCTATCAATTTATATTATTATTATTATTATTATTATTATTATTATATAAAAGTGTAAATTCCAAAAACATTAAAGATGATCAACTAAAATACCTATGGATTTTTAAATTAGCAAATTTATCCTTAAATATATATTTTTTATTAATTTATTTAAATTAAATTTAAATCAACTAAAATTAAAAATAGAGATTATATGAAATTAAATTGCTTAAATTTTTAAACTTTTAATTCCAAAAATGTTAGAAGTGATTGACTAAAATACTTATAGTAATTTTTTTAGAAATTTTAATTTAAATAAATCTTTTTTATTATTATGCTTCTTTTTTGTAATTAGACTCATAAAAATGTTAAAAGTGATTGATTAATATACTCTTAATTATTAATTTATTTAAATTTAATTTAAATCAACTAAAATTAAAAATAGAGATTATGTGAAATTAAATTACTTAAAAATTTAAACTTTTAATTTAAAAAATGTTTGAAATGATTTATTAAAATACTCATAGTAATTTTTTAAAAAAATTTTAATTTAAAAAAATTTTCTTTTTTATTATTGTACTTCATTTTTATAATTAGACTCAAAAAGTGTTAAAAGTAATTGATTAATATATTTTGAAATATTAAAGTGATCAATCAAAATATCCCTATGAAGTTTTAAATTAGCAAATTTATTCTTAAATATATGATTTTTTTAATTTATTTAAGTTTAATTTAAAGAAACTAAAATTAAATGACATTAAGCTTAGGGTTGTTTTATTAGTTCTTTGACTACTCATAAATCGAGACAGGAATGAGTGGCTGAGCTCCTTGAATGTGGTGATCGACCTTGGCTCCAAACTATTATACTAGGATCGAGCTGCACTTTTAAACGTAGTGGCCAGACCTTTGCACATTAGAGCCTCGTCTACCTTCTGTATAATCATGTTAGTTCTATAAAGTTTCAAATGATCAAAGGGGTAAGAAATCCAAGGTCGACATTTTGAATACTTTGGGAGGCATAGCTCTATCAATCTCTTTGATAAATGGTGAGGTCTCCAAGAATTTGAGCTCATTCTCAAATGCCATTGCTTTTGTTTTGAGTTCTTTCTCTATGGCCTGCATCCAAGCTTCTAAATCTCTGTTCAGTTGAGGTTCATGATCTGTTTGTTTGGATCTTTAGATTGTGGCATGTGTGAAATTGTGATTGGGGCGGTGATGAGTTGGGTTTGTGTGTTCTTCTTCTCTGAAGGTCGAGGAGGCTTCCGCCTCTTCGTAGCTCAATTGTCCAACTATAGCTTCTCAACCCGGCGTGACTAAGTTTGGCACTTTGGAGACTTGTGATAAGGTTATAGTTTGTAGTATTTACTTGAGAGCTTGTATTTATTCGGTTAAGGCTTAAAATTGCTCCATGGTTGGTTCTGCCTGTTGTTGAGTTAGGCAACATAATGCTAGCTTAGATAAGTTTCTATTCTAGCTGGGGCAGCTATCTCTCCTTCCTCTGGGTTCTCTTTCTTGGTGGTATTGTTTTATGCTCAACTAATATAGAATGTTTTAAGCCCTTACCTTGCACGTCAAATGTTTGTGTTGAGCTCCGACTTGAGGGTATTCTTATAAATGTAGAAGAAAAGGATGGTTAAAGGCAAAGACATGGGGTGTTTTTTGCGTTTATACTCCGACGTATAAGTCAATAAGAATCAGGTAAAAAAAAAAGTGAGAAAGTATGAAGGAAAGAAAAAAAATGAATGGGATGAACCTGATTTTATGATGCCTAAATCTTCACTTTTATAAGTAAGTTAAAGGGAACAATTAGGATAAAGTCAAGCTGAAGTAATACTAATTATGTTAGGCTGATCTGATATGTTAGATCCACACAAATAATAAAGATATTTTTTATTATCTGTTAAAGACTTTTAAAAAAAAAAAAGACTATTATATCATTTTTTATCATTATATGCTCTAACACTTCTTATTTTAGATTTGTTTATTATTTTCATGTTTGCAAAATGTATAGAGAGAGGTTGTATAAGAAGGCTTTTCAACCTGGCTATCTAGAATTGAGTCTTTGATATTTCAAATCAAAGGCACCCTTAATTAATTTATTCACAAATTCACTGGGTAGCACGTACCTTTGGTCTGACCACACTGTAGATCTGGATACTCGCTGAAGTTTTCCTCGCCCTCGAGATTTGAAAACCACTAAAACAACAATTTTGAAAAGAATCACATCACCGTCCAATAATACGTAAATCAGTACAAAAAGCAATGAAACTGAAGTACCATACATCATCCGGTATAGGGAATCCAGAGTTTTCCTCATCATGCTCCTGCAAATTAGGAGAAACATCAATTGCATTAGCGCATACCATCAATTTTAAAACTCCGAAAGATAGAATAGAAGAATTACATTTCTAGAAGACGAATGTATTAGATAGCATTTTTTGAAGTGCTAAACCTAAAAAATCTTCTTTTCTTCACGTTGTAAGGATGTGCGTTAATACTGGCGAAAAAAAAAAAAGGATGTGCGTTAATAGTGATGCACTTGTATTTACATTTCATACTATAAATTTAAAACTTATCTGTGAACCAAATATTATTTGTTGTTGTGAAGCTTGAAAGAGGCCTGTAAAACACCATGCCATTCTTCTTCATCCATGCAATCCATAGAAGAAATTGAAGTCCCTTAATTTTTATTATGAGACACTAGATCCGGCTCGATTATTGACAGAGTGAATAGATCTGTCATTTCTTCGGCTTCATTGTTGACAGCGTGAACTGCTTTTTCTTGAAATCTCTCTTCTGATTCAAAATGGTGGTAGAATGGGTGACTCTTTTCTGATCATAAAAATTTTATGAGATAACAAATTCCTCGCAAATACTCCAAGATATTTTTAGCTATCTTGGTTTTCGATCATTAATCTGCTCGGGCATTGATCTTTAATTTGCACAACACAAAGCAAAAGTTAGAAAGGAGACAGACGGAAGAAACAGAGAGGGAGAGGATTAGTCGCTTGCCTTAGAAAGCCGTTCCTTCAAAGAGTTTATTTCAGACTGGTCTGCCTCCCCCTTCCTTTTCAATTCTTCTTTCTCTTTCTCTGATTCTTGGCACTTCTTTTGTAATGCTTCGCATTTCTTTTGTAATGCTTCGTTTTCGTCCTTCATTTCCAGATGCAAATTCTATAAGATGGAAAATAAACAAAGAGGTTGAAAACATAAATAAAATACCAAAAAGATATATAAGAGAGAAAATGAAATGTCTTTACATTTTTCTTTTGCCGATATTTTTTATCGGTTTCTTTTTTTTTTGCACGTTTTTGATCTTCGGTTTGCTTCTGTTTGCGACCCCTCTCTGGTTTGTTTGAAGTAGCCTCTGCCTGTTGTTTACTTTCATCTGGGCTTTGCTTTTGTCTTTTTTGCATTGGTTGGCGCTCTCTGATCATTGTTGGTTTGTTTGAAGCCACAGCCTCTGGCTGGTTCTCTCTTTTATCGGGGCTTTGCTTACGCTTTGGTTGGTCATCTCTGAGCTTTTCTGGTTTGTGATTTGAAGACTCTGCCTCTGACTGCAATTTAGCGCCAAAATCCTCCATATTTCAAGGACAAATCAAATCAAATCCCCTACCAAAAAAAAAAAAAAAGAAAACCAGAAATGGAAAACTTTCGAAATCAGAAAAAAGGCTCATTACCAGATCTGAGCAATAAAAGTATTCAGTTGAAAGTGATCACATTAAATCAGCATAACCAAAAATGAAAATTTTTAATGATTGGAAAATCAACTCTACCAAAAATAGTACTATATCCTAAAAACAAAATTTGGGTGAAAAAAACATCTCAAGAAAAATTCAAACTAATCATTTAGCTGAAAAAGAAAATTTCAAGCCACAGAGTACTGACTGTTGCATCAAAGAGGAAAAAGCAAGAAAATTGAAGCAAACGACGACATACAAATGATGGTAGAAAAAGAATAAGAAACACGGCAAGGAATCAAATTTGCGAAAGAAAATAAGCCTCCACTAATTTTTGAAAGGAGAAGGAGAGAGAATGAAATAATTGCTCACTGGTTAAGTCGCTGGAGAAAGAGTGAAGAACAGTTGGAACTTTCCTTCTAAATTTTTACTTCACAATTTGTTTATAATGCGAAAACGGAAAAACTCGAGTTCATAATAAAGAATGGATGCGGCCAAAGAATTCAGGACTCGAGAAGCTAATTCTATTATTTTTAATAATTTTTTATTACTTTTTCTTACACAATGTCACTTTTTTGTATACGACAACCATTCTATTTGTGTAAGAAAAAGGTCACAGAATAGACGGATTGAATGGATGGAACCATTCCTACACAGTGTCACCTGCACTACTATTCTTTGGTGGTTGGGTAAGAAGAACTACTATCCTTATAGAACCAAATAATTTTTTATTACTTTTTCTTACACAATGTCACATTTTTAATAATCTCTTACACGAAGCTAATTCAATCAAGCTAATTCTTTATTACTTTCATCCATTCATAACGAACTATATTTTAATAATTTTGAATCTTAATTATGAAAAAAAAAAGAAAATTATTACTCTATTATCTAATTATCCCATGCAGAAATTATTTGAGCCGTTCAATTATAATAATATTTTTATGGCCCGAATGATTTTTTCCCCCCGAAACTTAGTGCATGGCTTTTGATAATTTAGGGTATCTATTTATTAATTTTGTTATATTAAAAATAGCAATAACTGTATAAATAAATATTGTAACGATAAAATTAAAATAAATAATAAAATATATGTTTAAATATAAATATAATAATAATAAAATTAAATATAACAATTGAATATTTCTCTAAAAGTAATCAATTGTCGTAATTAAAAAATATCTTACATTTTAATTTTATACTATATCAATGGATTGACTTGAGGTGCCATAGTTAACTAGACTGTTTCCTCTTCAACCGAAAACTGAAAGCGCATAATTTTGGCCTCCAATTGCATTGCTAGAGTGTAACTCAAATTTACCTCCAATATATTTGAATATAGTCTTGATAATTTAAAATAAATATGGTGATATGATATATAAATAATATAAAAAAATATAAAGAATATGTTTTGTGTATAAAATTATGATAGGATAAGATAAGATAAAATAATATTATAAACATGATTAGATTTAATAATATCCTCCTATATTGTGTTTGATGTGTGCACAAATTAAAATATAATAATTTATTTATTGATTAAAATTATCTTTTTTTAAAGTTTATATAATTTAAATTATTTATATAATTTTTAAGGGTATAATAAGACATGTAAGTTCAATCCCATGAATTAAAAATAATTCTCTCTACTTTTGATGGATTGCATCATCTTACACTAAGAGGATGATTAATCTGCTTTATAATCATATTCCTTACTTTAGATACAAACTAAATATAATACAAAATGATTATCATCTTATCTCATTCATCATCTTATATATCAAACATGACAAAAGGTTATAAGATAAAAATTTTAGTAAAAATCATATATGGTTTAACGAAAACAAAAAAAAAAAGGTATTTTGCATTTTATGAATTATTATATGTAATTTTTGTATAAAATAAAATATAAATATTTTAATATTTTATAAGATAAAAATAAAAAAATTATCAAATAAATAAAGGCAAACATTCCTCTTAAATGAGATGAAATCCAAACCAACCCTTAATCAAACTTAAAAACCATTAATTATATAAATTAACCCACCTTTTATTCCAATCGGTTCATAAAATTTACTACTAATTTCATTTTCCTACTTCTACTTTTCAACATTATGCATTAATCCACTTGATTTTTTTTTTGAAATAATACAATTTATTTTTAATTCCCTCAACTATGCATTTATTTTTAATTATTTGAGTAAATATGTTGATATTAATTATGAGAAATTATTTGATACAATGTTAGTGGTGTATTTTAACTCTACAAGCATGGTTAAAATGATGACATGTCCCACTTCTTTTTTTAATTTATTTTTTTTATTTCTAAATATAGACTAAAAGATATATGTCATCATTTTAATTTCACTTATGAAGTTAGAAAACTTCAATATCAATGTATTAAATAAATTCTCATTAATTATTGCATCAAGACTTACAAAGGAAACTACATTAATTTAAAAATTCACTTGATATATTTTGTAAATCAATTGGACATGTGTAATAATAGATAGTTTTTTATTAAATTTATTAGGGGCATTTTTGATCATAAGAGTATAATTATCTTTTATTTTAAGAGAGTGGTTCACAATTGAATCAAGGGCACTTTGATCATCTAATCCGAGCTGATGTGTATAAATATCCCTTCACCCCTTTTAAGTAAAGGGGACTAATTCTTTTACAAACTCTCTCATTCTTATCTTCCAAGGTTTTTTTCCTCAACTCTCTTATTCTTATCTTTAAGCTCTTCCCTTCAGTTTGAACTTAGTACAAATAGAATTTTTTTCTTACAAAGGTCAAAAAATGACATTTGATTTATATAAATCATTTTACTAAGAATTGTTTTTTTAATTTCTATCAAAAAGTATGTACATAGATTTGACTTACAGATTTGACTTATTAGTTATTCTTATAATTCTAATAAAATAAATTATATACAAAATAATTTGCATGAAAATTTTGTTTTACAATAATTCTCTTGTTTTTATAAAAAAAAAAATTTTCGTTGCTTTCCACACTTATTTTTGAAATATCCAAACAATAAATCTCTCTTTGGCCAATGCCAAAGCATCCCTAATTTCTTCTTTTTTCACTTTTCCCTATCTCATATTTATCCGAATCCAAATTAAGTATGACTACAACTGTAATACACAATTTTCTTCTCTCCTGGTTTAACTATCTGAAGTAATCGTAACGGTAACAACATCAGCCTTTTCTTACACAACTACCATTCTATTTTTATAGTATTATCTGTCAACTTGATTCCATATATTTATACATTAAAATGGTCCATCAACTTTGTATAAGTTCTTTTGCAACGGACAAACGAGTAAAACCAAAGGGGCTTGTGTTAGCTGGCAGGTCATATGTAGACCCAAGTTGAATATATTAGCGTCTGGAATCAGCCTGTTACTTAGATCTTATGGTCTATTTTCACGCAAGCCAGGGTTTTTGTGGATTGCATAGGTGAATAGGTATATGCTAAAAGGTAGAAGTATATGGGAAATACCCGTTACTCTCCAAGCCACAGCTAGGGAATTAAAAAAGCTACTTCCAAATGAGAAGATTAGCTTCTAAATTTCTTAACGTAGACAAAGAATGAAGTGCTTTGGCACATAAGGCAACCAGCAACTCTATTGCAAGTGTCTATGATGAATTAAGGGTAAGACAAGTATGACTACAAACTATAATACACAATTTTTTTCTCTGCTGGTTTTAACTATCTGAAAGTCATTGTAACGGTAACAATATCACCTTTTTCTTACACAACTACCATTCTACTTTTTTATAGTATTTCTGTCAACTTGATTCCCATATATTTATACATTAAAACGGTCAATCAACTGTGTACAAAGTTCTTTTGCAACGGACAAACGAGTAAAACCAAAGGGGCTTGTGTTGGGTGGCAGGTCATATGTAGACCCAAGTTGGAATATATTAGCATCTGGAATCAAGCCTGTATACTTAGATTCTTATGGTCTATTTTCACGCAAGCAGGGTTTTTGTGGATTGCATAGTTGAATAGGTATATGCTAAAAGGTAGAAGTATATGGGAAATACCCGTTACTCCGAGCCACAGCTAGGGAATTAAAAAGGCTACTTCAAATGAGAAGATTAGCTTCTAAATTCTTAACGTAGACAAAGAATGAAGTGATTTGGCACAATAAGGAACCCAGCAACTCTATTGCAAGTGTTTTTGATGAATTAAGGGTAAGACAAGTATGACTACAAATATAATACACAATTTTCTTCTCTGCTGGTTTTAACTATCTGAAAGTCATTGTAACGGTAACAATATCACCTTTTTCTTACACAACTACCATTCTACTTTTTTATAGTATTTCTGTCAACTTGATTCCCATATAATTTATACATTAAAAGGGTCAATCAACTTTGTACAAAGTTCTTTTGCAACGGAAAAACGAGTAAAACCAAAGTGGCTTGTGTTAGCTGGCAGGTCATATGTAGACCCAAGTTGGAATATATTAGCGTCTGGAATCAAGCCTGTATACTTAGATTCTTATGGTCTATTTTCCCGCAAAAAGGGTTTTTGTAGATTGCATAGGTGAAAAGGTATATGCTAAAAGGTAGAAGCATATGGGAAATATCCGTTACTCCGAGCCACAGCTAGGGAATTAAAAAGCTACTTCAAATGAGAAGATTAGCTTCTAAATTCTTAAAGTAGACAAAGAATGAAGTGATTTGGCACAATAAGGAACCGAGCTACTCTATTGCAAGTGTCTATGATGAATTAAGGGTAAGACAATGAAACGTCTGTTGGCACAGGCTTATTTGTTGCAAAATGCTTGTAAACATTTAATTTTGTTTGAATAAATTATAATGAATCTCGAACTTCATTTGCAATTTGGATATGTCCAATAAGTTTAATTATTATATAGTTTTAT